TTTGTATAGCCTGGGGCTAAATATGTAAAGAGTGAAGCTCACTTTTGTTGTAACCAAGTTAAGGCTTAGAAAGATGTAAGCCAATAGGGCTATTGTTTATATTAAACTCTTTTGTATCTTTAACCTCGTGTAATGAAAGGACTGAGACTCTGATTTATGCTATCTTCTATATATTTACGGATGTAATTATGTTATGTTTTGGGGGCATTACATAATCTTTTATTGAAATCCTAAGAAAAGCGTCCTCGACGGCAAGACTCACATACTCAGCCCAAAAGAGCTACGCGAGACAAGCGCACAAGGAGTTCTGGGCGCTTTGTCAGCCTAGAAAAGCGTCACCGCTGACAGCGAAACTCACACACTCAGTACCTAGAAGACAAGCTGAGAGATCAAGATACCATCATCAAGAAGATGGTGACGGAGATGGAGGCTATGAAATGCCATATGAAGGGAAAGGGCATCGCTAGAGTAGGGAACCACAGTGAGCACGCCTATTTGCACCGTTCCAACAGTCAGAAAAGAGGCCACACCCCTTCACTCTCTGTCACGAGAAGCTTCAGAGCTGGAGACTACGTTGCGCTTGCGGTGACATCTTGTGCGCAGGACAATAGTTACCACCCTTTACGTCCGACGACAGCATCGAGATATTCATTCTCTGACCCTTCAAAAGACTTGAAGGATGTGTTGGAAGAGTGCACTCGCTAATGGAAAGTGCAGAGGGTACTTGCACTGCAGCGGCTGGCCCTTAGAGGGCAAGCTAGTGAAGAGGTCGCCATGTCACCACCACGCTTGGCGGCACACGCGCCACCAGAAAAAGAGTTAGTAAGGCTGAGCGCCACTCTTTTTTTCGTAGAGATCGAGAACACACTGCTCCTTGGGTTCTATCAGCCAAAGTTCACGCTTTGTGATGGAAAGATCGATCCGTATATGTATGTAAGCCACTTTCGGCAGGTTATGGCTGGGCACAGGCGAAGCGATGCGCTCATGTGCTTTGTTTTTCCATCGAGTTTGGGCGAGTTGGGCCTAAAATGGTTCGAGAGGCTGCCGGAGGAAAGTATCGAGAGGTGGTAACAATTGGCAGAGGCATTTGTGACACAATTCAAGACCAACACCAAAACACCCAAAGAAGTCGACCACCTTTTGGGAATCAAGATGGAAACAAGTGATTCCTTGAAGGTGTACAACGCCAAGTATTGGGAAACATTCAACAAAATTTTTGATTGCCCGATGAACCTAGTAATCACTCAATTCAAGCGCGATTTTCCAGTCGGACATAAACTCAAAGACTTGCTTACCATGAACCAACCAACGACCATGGAGTTACTCATGTAACGCATCAACGAACACATCCGAGTTGAGGATGACGTGGCCGCAGCTACCGTGAAGGCAAATCCAATTGTGGCAGACAAAAGAGTTACGGGAAAAGTCAATACAGTTGGACAAGATAATGGTGGTGCAGACAACTGTGGAAGAGAGCATGATCGCGACGCTAACCGCAAAAACTTGGATAAGGGTCGTAACATTGACCGGGCTACCAACTCATATGACGCGGAGGATGATGCAAAGAGAAAGTTAAAAGCTCGGACTGGCATTACTATGGTTTTTAAGATCCCGATCTATCGCATATTGAGTGAAATCCATGACGAGGAATACATTCGGTGGCCAGCTAAGTTGGGGAATGCCTAGAGAGGATTCAATTCGAGATACTGTTACACTTTTCATGATGAGAGATGGCACAAAACAGAATATTGCATGTCGCTCAAACTACGCTTGGAAAAGTTGGTGGCTGCAAGGCATTTGGATCATTACATTGATGAGGGGGTTAGAGTGGCTCCTCTAGAGAAGACCTTGCTAAATGGCCTAGCAATCGAAGACATCCCCCCGCAATAAGTGATTGATTGAAGAGATCTGGGGAGATTAGTTTTGAAAGGCGAAGGAAAAGGGGCATAAAATTCGCAGGATATAGACGGCCGATCTATTCCCTGAACATGGAACACTGTCAATCTGAAGTTTTATTCTTAGTTTTATTTTTGTAACCCATTCTACTATTGATATAATGAAAAAAGTAGACTATTTTCTTGAAGATTGTTATATTTTTACCTCACCAAGCAGGTTTAGCACGGTCCAAGTGGCAACTGAATCATTTTGACGAAAAGATCAGAATTCCCTGTCGGGCTAATTTTGCTCGGAAAGATGAAAGTTGGTGTTTTGTTCAACATTGGAATTCCTTGCCGGGCGGATTTTGCTCGACAAGTGGTTTATTGATGGTTTTGATCAACTTTGGAATTCCTTGTGGGCCTGATTTTGCTCTACAAGAGGTTTGTTGATGGTTTTGATCAACTTTAGAGTTCCTTGCTGCGATGATTTTGCTTTCCAAGAAGCAAGTTACCGAGCTAACTTTGCTCGCCAACGTTGAAATTCTTTGCCGAGTTGATTTTTACTCGCCAAGAAGCAAGTTGTCGAGCTGACTTTGCTTGCTAACGTTGAAACTCCTTGCCGAGAAGCAAGTTGTCAAGCTGACCTTGCTCACCAATTTTGGAATTCCTTGCCGAGTTTATTTTACTCACCAAGAAGCAAGTTGTCGAGCTGTCTTTGCTTGTCAACTTTAAAGTTCTTTGCCGAGTTGATTTTGCTCGCTAAGAAGCAAGTTGACGAGCTGTCTTTGCTCGCCAAATTTGAAGTTCTTTGCCGAGTTGATTTTGCTTGTCTAGAAGCAAGTTGACGAGCTGTCTTTGCTCGCCAACTTTGAAGTTCTTTACTGAGTTGATTTTTCTCACCATGAAACAAGTTGCCGAGCTGACCTTGCTCACCAACTTTGGAGTTCCTCCCAGAGCTGATTTTGCTCGCCAAGAAACAAGTTGCCAAGCTGACCTTGCTCGCCAACTTTGAAGTTCCTTGATGAGCTGATTTTGCTCGCCAAGAAGCAAGTTGTCAAGCTGACTTTGCTCTCCTACTTTGAAATTCCTTACCAAACTGATTTTACTCACCAAGAAGCAAGTTGACAAGCTGACCTTGTTGGCCAACTTTTGAGTTACTTGCCGAGCTGATTTTGCTCACCAAGAAGCAAGTTGTCGAGTTGATCTCGCTCACCAACTTTGAAGTTTCTTGCTGAGTAGATTTTGCTCGCCAAGAAGCAAGTTGCCAAGTTGACTTTACTCTCCAACTTTGAAGTTCTTAAACTGAGCTGAAGTTGTGTAATCGCAATCATATTACAACAGAAAGGATTTAAGGCCAACGACCGAGCAAGTGAACCACTGAGTAAAGAGTCTAGCCCGGCCTAGTAATGTAATTCCGGTCACGTGAATGCGGACGGAATTAAGGGGCAATTGAAAGGGGAGTTTGGGCCAAGCAAATCGGCCGAGCTAGTTGTGACTTGGGCCATGCTATTGGATTACAAGACTGAGTGGGCATAGCCGAGGGCAGTTTGGCTGAGGTTCTAGATCACGCTACTGAGTTAGCTTGAGGTTCAAAAGTTGGACTGGGCTAGTTGTTCGGCGTGAATCATTTGCCAAGCTAAGTGAAGCGATGGTCCAAGACCGAGCAAGGTCAGTGGAGACGAATGGGTACAACTAAAGAAGTTAGCTAGAGGCCTCAGATTTTTGCTGGTCGGGAGTAATGCGGTTCCAAAGGGCGGACTATAGCTCCATGCAAGAAATAACTCGGTAGGATTTGCTACATGGCCCGATCGGAATGTAAGGAGAGGAATCCACTAAAGTTGCACATCAGTTCCATTAGTAGTTTGCCCAAAATGTTGTTTGGCAATACTGACACGTGCACGTATAAAGAATAGAGAGGGCAATACAACCACGCGTCCAGAAAATTTCGAGCAGAGTGGTGCACGCAAAAACTATTTAAACTATGCGGCGCCTCCATACAATAGGTCTGGAACATCTGGTTATCAGAGCTACCTACCCTTCTGTCTCTCTCTCTCTCTCTCTCTCTTTCTCTCTCTCTCTCTCTCTTCTTCTTCTTATTCTTCTTTCTAAGTGTGCTAACTTGACCGTCGGAGGGTTTTTTCGACAGCAAACCGCCGGGTAACTCACCGTCTTTGTGTTCTCAGGTCAGTCAAAAATAAGCGAAGCTTGGACACAAGGAGTATGGAAAGCGATGATTATTTCCTACTCGTACAATTGGCGCCGTTTGTGGGAATCCGACAGACAAAACCTTGTCCTCCAAGCTTTTCTGGTCATCTTTTATGGCGAACAATGACGATATTCCGTTGTCCGCCATAGATGGCATCACGCCAGAGTCCATTCGGCACAGAGATGACCTGTCCGCAATTCCGACGATGGTTGGTTTGGAGACCTTTGGGTGAGGACTTCCCAGGGCTACGTGAGACAAGTGCACAAGGAGTTCTGGGCGCTCTATCAGCCCAAAAGAGTGCCGTCGACGGCGAGACTCACACACTAAGCACTTGGAAGACAAGCTGAAAGATTAAGATATCATCATCAAGAAGATGGCGACAGAGATGGAGGCCATAAAATGCTAGATGAAGGGAAAAGGCATCGTTGGAGTGGGGAACCACAGTGAGCACGCTCGTTCTCACCGTTCCGACAGTCAGAATAGACGCTACACCCCTTCACTCTCTGTAACGAGAAGCTTCAGAGTCAGAGACTACGATGCACCGGTGGCGACATCTTGTACACAGGACAACAGTTACCACCCCTCACGTTCGACAACGGTGTCAAGACATTCATGTTCCGACCATTCGAAAGACTTCAAGGATGTGTTGGAAGAGCATGCTCGCCGGCAGAAAGTGCAGAGGGTACTTGCACTACAGCAGTTGGCCCCTAGAGGGCAAGCCAGTGAAGAGGTCGCCATGCCACCACCACGTTTGGCGGCACACGTGCCACCAAGCAGAGAGTTAGCAAGGCTGAGCGCCACCCCTTTCTGTAGAGATCGAGAACACATTGCTCCCCTTCAAGTTTCATCAGCCAAAGTTCACACTTTATGACGAAAAAACCGATCCGTACATGCACGTAAGCCACTTCCGACAGGTTATGGCTGGGCACAGGCAAAACAATGTGCTCATGTGCCTTGTTTTTCTATCGAGTTTGGGCGTGTTGGGCCTGAAATGGTTCAAAAGGCTGCTGGAGGAAAGTATTGAGAGGTTGCAGCAATTGGCAGAGGCATTCGTGACACGATTCAAGACTAACACCAAAACACCCAAAGAAGTCGACCACCTTTTGGGAATCAAGAAGGAAACATATGACTTTTTAAAGGTGTACAACGCCAAGTATTGGGAAACATTCAGCGAAATTCTCAATTGCCTGACGAACCTAGCAATCACTCAATACAAGCGCAATCTTCCAATCGGACATAGACTCAGAGACTCGCTTACCATGAACCAACTGACGACCATGGAGTTACTCATGCAACGCATCAACGAACACATCCGAGTTGAGGATGACGTGACCGCAGCTATTGTGAAGGCAAATCCAATAGTGGTAGACAAAAGAGTTGCGGGAAAAGTCAATGCAGTCGGACAAGATGATGGTCGTGCAAACAACTGTGGAAGAGAGCATGACCGCGACGCTAACCGCAACAACTTGGATAAGGGTCGTAACAATGACTGCGCTACTAACCCATGTGACACGGAGGATGATGCCAAGAGAAAGTTAAAAGCCTGGATTAGCATTACTACGGTCTTCAAGATCTCGATCTATCACATATTGAATGAAATTCATGACGAGGAATACATCCGATGGCCAACCAAGTTGGGAGATGCCCAGAGAGGGTTCAATCTGAGATATCGTTGCACCTTTAATGATGAGAGAGGGCACAAAATAGAAGATTGGATGGCGCTCAAACTACACTTGGAAGAGTTGGTGACTGCAGGGCATTTGGATCGCTACGTTGATGAAGAGGTCAGAGTGGCTCCTCCAAAGCAGACCTTGCCAAATGGCCAAGCAATCGAAGACATCCCTCCTCAAGGAGTGATCGATTGAAGAGATCTGGGGAGATTAGTTTTGAAAGACGGCAGTAAGAAGTCCGAGGAAAATAGGCATAAAATTCGTAAGATATAGACGGCTGATCTGTTCCTAGAATGTGGAACACTGCCAATCTAAAGTTTTATTCTAGTTTTATTTTTGTAACCCATTCTACTATTGATGTAATGAAAAAAGTAGACTGTTTTCTTGAAGATTGCTGTATTTTCGCCTCACCAAGTGGGTTTAGCGTGGTCCAAGGGGCAACTGAATCATTTTGATGAAAAGATCATAATTCCCTGTCGGGTTGATTTTGCTCAGCAAGATGAAAGTTGGTGTTTTGTTCAACATTGGAATTCCTTGCCAGGTGGATTTTGCTCAGCAAGTGGTTTGTTGATGGTTTTGATCAACTTTGGAATTCCTTGTCGCGCGGATTTTGCTCGACAAGACGTTTGTTGATGGTTTTGATTAATTTTAGAGTTCTTTGCCAAGTTGATTTGGCTCACCAAGAAGCAAGTTGTCAAGTTGACTTTGCTCGCCAACGTTGAAATTCCTTGCCGAGCTGATTTTTACTCGTCAAGAAGCAAGTTGTCGAGCTGACTTTGCTTGCCAAGTTGTTGAGCTGATTTTTGCTCGCTAAGAAGCAAGTTGGCATGCTCTTATTGGCCCTTATCTTATACCACTTGCACCTATAAAACTATGCCGAAGTATTTTCTTTTGAGTTTTGTTGATAGCATAATACTTGTATTCAAAGTGAATGTTGGACATCAAGGTTGTCATTATAGAGATTGCCATTGTCTTTCTATTACCTCTCCACATGGTTCTAAATAATAGTATATGATCATACATCAGCCAATATTGGATAGTATCGGTTGATATATCGATGAATAATTATATCAAAAGTTCAAAATCCCAATACGTAATGTTCGATATTTAAAACCCTGCCTCTCCATGATTACCTTTTGTTTCAGGTTTGTTAACACTCTTCCAATCAATGGGTTAATTCACTATATTGGTTTGTTTCATTTCAAATTAGATGGTTGATTAATACACCATTTCAAAATATTTCTTTCAAATCTTTGTCATATGTCATGTAGAGTATACTTGGTACACCATCTTAGTGAATGTGCTACTTTTTCTGTAGGAACTTGGAGAGGTCGAAGAAGAGTTTGCTCGTGTTGACACTGCAAGACTAATAAAGAAATTCCTCACATCTCATAGGCCAGGTCCGCTTTGTGTACATAAAAAAGTTGGGTTTGGTGGTTCACCCCATAATCCAGTTATCATGCCCTCTTGGCTATCAAAAGAAGACATCAATTATTATGTAACCAACTTTAACCAAATAGGTTTCATTAGTGGATTAAATTACTATCGAGCTGTGGACCTGTAAGTTTGCTTTGACATTCTATCATGATTAACTAATTCTTCTTGTGATGTCACGTTTAATTCAGACATTTTGTTATGATTAACTAATTCTTCTTGTGACGTCACGTTTAATTCAACATACTTGTATCAGATGCTTTACTAGATGGCATGCATGTGTAACAACCCAAAAATTTAAGTTGTCCTTTAAATTTTATATTAGTATTATGATTGTATGTGATAATATATTATTAAATAAAAAATAATAAAAGTAAGAGTAAATAAATAATAATAATAATAATAATAATAATAATAATAATAATAATAATAATGGGTGTGGTAGTAAAATAAATAATTAATTTTTTGTTGGTATACGATAAAGTGTAATTTAATTACGGATTAATTTATTTATATAGTTATATTAGAAAACTGGGCCAAAGTGTAATTATCTTAAATATTTATTAAAGATGAGTATCAATCCATATAATTTATGATCAAATCTGTGGGAGGATACGCACTGGCCAGCTAATGTTCTTACCTCCCTATAAATCGGGAGGAGGTGATCAACTAAAAGAAAAGGAAAAAAAGAGAGGGGGAGAGACACGTAAGTTGTTAGTAGTAGGAACTTATAGTAGGAAGGTTATGATAGTGGAGTAAGGCTAAGGGTCAATATTAAGATGAGTTATATTATACCTTAAGTCACCATAATATATTTTACGTATGTTTTGACTTACCATAATTTATTTTATACAAGTTATGTTTTATAAATTATATTAATATTTTAATTACGTGGATTATTTTCTGAATTCTATTTGTTAAAATGAAACTCATGGATATGTTTGTTTATATTTTAAAAAATATTTGACAATGACCTTATAAACAATTATGTTTTGTAAGTACCACCACTGGAGTCCCACGCCTTGAAGGACTTAAATAACCATCGGTTTCTGTTTGGTCACTATATGGCTCTCTATTGTCATGGATCTATTGACTTCTGTTCTGTGTGGAGCAAAGTGTTGTGCAGAGATAAGTGCTACACTATTGTGGGCGCCACCTCTATAATCCGTACGAGCCACCTATTGAATCCGCACCTCTGTACTGACTGTCACTCCTGTGATCTCTGTTCTGTTTTGTTCGGTACCGTGGTTATGGTTATTTATCTACATAATCTCAGTTTTGCTACTTAAATAATTATTTGTTTAAACTAAGTTATCTTAAATATTTTAGTTACATAACTATCCATAGTTATTTTGTATCCTTTATACTTTTGGCATATTATTTCTCATTCTGCCATGTGCTTATAGCTGTTTATCAATTTTCAAGAAACAATGCAATTTAGAAATAGCTTTTGGAAAGTCTTAGATGCGGGGCTGCGGAATAGACACAAACAACACTTTTATGATATTTTTTTTTCTCAGTTTTGCTACTTAAATAATTATTTGTTTAAACTAAGTTATCTTAAATATTTTAGTTACATAACTATCCATAGTTATTTTGTGTCCTTTATACTTTTGGCATATTATTTCTCATTCTGCCATGTGCTTATAGCTGTTTACCAATTTTCAGGAAACAATGCAATTTAGAAATAGCTTTTGGAAAGTCTTAGATGCGGGGCTGCGGAATAGACACAAACAACACTTTTATGATATTTTTTTTATATGTAAATATCAACCTTTTTGGTCAATAAATTTTGTAATAAAATAGAAACTCCAATGATTATTTTGGTACCCTCACTTAATATTTTTTTTCCACTCGCGTTTATTTATTTGTTCAAGAATTAACCGGAAGTAACTTCAGTTACTAGCCATTACGATACTTAACCCTTAAGTACGGGAGCGGGTCGTCACAGCATGAATGTAAAATCTGGGCCATCCGTGGAGATGTATGAAGATGATGTTGATGCATATGCTTTGATTGGCTTGTTTAGTTGCAATAAATATCTAAGGACTATCTGATATATTGATTTCAACAGAGCACTTGACCATTTCAGTTTCCATATATAGTAATTTATGTTACTCGTAGATACATAAACTAAAAGATTAAATCCATTCTACTTTGAAATTATCCTTTCGATTACAATGAATATACTTTATAATCATTTTGTTTCTCATAGGGAATTAATTGGTATTTTTCATATGAATCCTCTTTCTTTGAATTGTACGACATTTATTAATTTTATTTTGTGATTTTTTATGCTATTAATCTAGACCATCTAATATGAAATAAGTGGTATTGATAATGATGTCTTAAACACTTTTCAAAGTTTCTTATATCTTAATTCAGAATGAATTATTCCTTATGTTTCAAAATAATCTTTTATTGAAGTCCTTAGAAAAAATGATGTTATGTAATATTGAAGAATAGATCATAACTTATACACGTTAAGAACTTGGGTTTGTGATATTTTGTAAAATATATATGCTTGTGACAAGAAGGATAAGTCAAAAAGATTCCCTGAATTCTAAATATCTAATGTTATAAAAAAATTATTTGATTGTGGTATGATTTTCATTTGAGATCAGTGATTAGGAGTGAAATGTAGTTACTTCATTTGTGGAAAGGGATTCACATGCGAGCCAAGTGACTTCTTTTTACGTGTTCTTGTAGAACTTGGGAGCAAATAGCGCCATGGACTGAGTGGCAAATAAAAGTGCCAGTTAAATTTATTGTGGGCGACGAGGATGTGACCTATACAAACCCGATCCTGAGATTTTCGAGGTCCAAAGCCGATAATCAACTAATAAATATCACTAGATCATTTAGGGCCCTTCACATTTTTTTTTTCATTCAACGAAATTTTTTTTGAACGTAAATGACAAAAGATTTGTGTCAAAATTACAAAAAATACTTAGCATTACATTATAACAACTAATAAGTATTACTTGATTCTCGCTCTTTTTGTATTTTTAGAAACAAATAAATCAATCATACTTGCATAATTTAGTTTTTTTACAAAATCATTTTCAATAAATAACAATGCTAATCCATTTCCTATCAAATTTTTCTCTATTGGGTTAATTTATTTTAAATTAGCTTGGGCATTCTTTAATTTTTTTGGACTTAAAACATACCTAATATATTACACTAAACTATAATAGGAGGAGGGCCTTTTTTTGGGTCTATTTTGAGGGACCCTAAATCAAGACCTGGTGGGCCCATGCCCAAAGCTGGCCTTGGACCTATACTACCCCGGGCACGAAGGAATATATACAAAGTGGTAGTTTCAAAAGAGTTGTTCCATTTTTGGAGGAACTAGTTGTGATGGAATGAGTAGCTCATTTTCTCAACCAAGAAAAGCGAGAGGAAATTAGTGCACACATTAGCTCATCAACAAGTTTTGATCTCAGTTTGTTATTTGTTCTATTCATGCCATGTTCTTGTAAACCTATTTACAGTTCATTTTCGTGTTCAGAATAAGATTTCTCTTGTATAAACATATTGGGTTTCGAACAATCTAATCTTTTAAGTCACCAAAAAAAAGGGGGGGAAAAAAGAAAAGAAAAGACAATTGTTTTGAGAGAATATGCTATTATGAGATTATATTGCTGAGGAAAATTGTGATAATCGTGTCCCGTATTATGCTAATTAATCTGAATTACGATTGTGATTATGTGTTTGATATGATTTTGTGTGCTACTTATATGAATATATGTGGTTTTGAATTTCTATTTGTTCACCGTTGGAATATCTGTTCAACTTACTGTTATAAACTGAAAATTGAAGGCCCTATCGGCCATAGAAACCGAAATTGACTACGCCTTTGTGATTAGCGTAATTTTTAGAGCCTACGGTGAAATTTGATTGAAAATTGATTTGGATCGAAATAATTAGATTCAAAACGATTAATTAAACTTTATTATTTAACTCTAATCAAATGTGATTAGTGAGAGACTATAAAAGGAGCTCTATTATACTTATATCCATCTATTTGAGCTCAAAGCCGAAAATTGCTCCAAGGAAAGAGAGCGAGGGTCGGCTAGAGAGAGAGGGAAACAATTGGAGATTTGAGCAAGAGGCTTGGAAATCTTGAAGATTAACTCAAGAATTGGCTAGAATTTGGGTGTTTAAAGCTCCTAGGTGAGTAAATTCATAAATTTTAGTTTGTAACTTTGTGAATTCAAAGTTGAATGGTGATCAAGAACATGAATTGAATGAAAATGAGTTCGTTTTGATGAATTGGGAGTCAATATACACATGCATGCATAAAATTGCCATGAATTTGCATAAACTAACATGTAATATGCTGATTATGAAAAATTGAGTTGTTGGATCATACATGCAAGCATGGTTTTGTTGAGTTTCATGAGAATGAACACTATTTGCATCATTTGAAATAGAAATGAAGTCAAAATTGGCATGCATGTTTGATTATTAAAGATATGATATGAGGTTTGAATGCATGAGCCATGATTATACAAAGGAATGTTGATTAATTTTGAAGAATTGGGCCATGATTTTGAGCAATTGGCCTCATATTGTTTGTGTACTCATGATACATAATGTGTTTCCCTATTTTGGTACCTTAATTCGAGCTTTGGAGCCTTTGAATACCAAGTTTGAGCCTCAGGAACAATTCTGGATTTCTCAAAATTTGGCATGTCCGCTCGAGCGGGGAAAACACCGCTCGAGTAGGAAATATGAGCTCCCAGAAGTTTTGCAGACATGGATGTCCACTCGAGCGGTAAGATTCACGCTCGAGCGGGGAGCCATGTAGTGAGACTTTCAACTCGAGCATCCGAATTCACGCTCGAGCGTAAAAATGAGGCAACCAGTACTTTTGCAGACCTAATGGGTTTGCTCGAGCGGGAAAGTCCATGCTCGAGCGGGGACTCCTGTTTCAGAAATTTTGTAAAGATGTTCTGTGTTTCGTTTTCCGTTCTCTTTCATTTCTAAGTACTCTTAGGCATGCATTGAGCATTATGAATGAATAAAAATGATAAGAAAGAAGCCTAAGAGGGATGTATGAATTAAGAACGGATCGAATCGTTTGTGACCCATATGTGTTATGTAATGTGTAGGGTCAAGCTCAAGGGTGAATCCACCGGTAGAGCACTGTGAGTAATATCTTAACAAAGATATTTGAAGTATGTTATTTGTCCAGTTGCTTATTTTTATATAAGTCTTGTAAGTTTGTTACATTGAATTGGGACAAATATTTGTTATGCCATGTGATTGGGCCAAAGGCCGCTGGACATGGATGATTGGGCCAAAGGCCGTCTGATACGAATGATAGTCTGACATGAATGATAGTTCGACATATGAATGAATGAGCCAGAGGCCACATGACATGAATGAATGGGCCAGAGGCCGTACGACATGAATGAATGGGCCAAAGGCCGTCGGACAGGAACGGTTGGGCCAAAGGCCGTCGGGTACGAGTTAATTAGGCCCAAGGCCGTTTAACACGTCTGGAACTTTAGTCGAGTGATACATTAAATAGAGACATGAATTGGGCCTAAGGCCGTCTAACATAACTGTTTCAAAGATTGTTCATGTATCTTCCTTATTTGATATTATTTACTGGGTTTTCGCTCACGCTCATTCATGTTTATGTAGGTGAGCCAAGGGACCTCCATATCCAGCCTCGGTGAAATATGTGAGAAGCAGTCAAGGTTTTGGTGAGTCAACCCAAACGTCTCACGCACGAGACTTGTTTTCGCCTTTTTTGTTCTTTTGATATGGTTTTGTTATATTAGCGAAAACGTCGGATTACTTTTGTATATAAATTTTGGGTTTGACCGACTTAGACTTAATGATCCTGTATGTACAGAACTTTATGTTATTACTTATTTTGACGTGAGTTATTAACATGTATGTATATGGACTGTTATGATGTGCCATGTAAGCATAGCTCTATGGACAATTTGTAAGTTGCTTCTGTTTGACCCATTTACTCTAATGAGTTATGTCTGAATTGGTTTGAGATCGTAGATAATTCCTTAATTACTGGCCGATTATGTCCTTAACCCATAAAAGCGGATTCGAGTCATGACAAAAATGATTGGCACATTCATGTTAGTTGGGATATTTTGTTGGTTAAAAACTAAAAAGGAAGCTAGTAGTGCTAGTTTGTGTCAGATTCCATAGAATTAGTTACTAAATCATGGTGATACGTTTTTAAAAAATTATGTCGCATAAACTAAATAAGCCACATATTTTATTTTTTTTAGTGATTTAAAAAAAAAAATTGTCATTTTTTTCCCCTCTCTTTCTGATCTGTAGATGAATCCAAAAAGTAATTTAAAATAAATAAATAAGCCAAATTAAGTTTGAAATGTTCATTATTTTTGACTTATTTTTATCTAAACTAGACTTTTTCCAAAATTTTTTATTTTTTATTTTTTAAATTTTCTAGTTCATCTTGTTGAGTAAATTCTAGAAATTATTTTATTTTATTTTATTATTTAAAATTCACTAAAACAAAAACAAGCCAACAAAAAAGTCACCAAAGAAACAAATTCCAAACAACAAATTCAAAGAAATTTTCATTTTCAAAGAAAACTTAGCATTTCATTTTACATTCTCAAATGAAACAAGTCAAATGGGAACCAAAAATCCCTTGGTGTTATTTCTTATAAAACATTATTCCATAATTATATAAAGCTTCCAAGAACATGGGCATGAAAAGATGCATCATAATATAAATCACTACTAGATCTTAATTCTTGAACTTTTGTATGAAGTCATATATGTGAGCACTGGTTTCCTCAGGCATTTCTTGGTTGATAAAATGACCAACACCTTCCATCACAATAACTTCATCCAAGAGAGGCACATCTTTCTTGAAACCCCCATTGTTTATGTAGTCCTTCACACCTGGGATATTGTAGGTTATGTCCAAGTCCCCTACAATAAATTTAACTGGAACTTGCACTTGTACCCCTGTCCATGGTGCTGTGAGCTCCCAAGTCCTACAACCCAAAAATTTAATTTAATTTTTTTGTAATGTAACAATTTTATACAATTTACTACAAACACAGAAATCAAACACAAAATAAACACAAAAAATAAATACAGAATATATATGAATGAACAAAATTTTATAAGATTGAGTAAATTATATTAGAAGCCCCTAAAATTTGTACCCTTTTATTTATTCATTTATTACTAAGCCTCTAAATTAAATTTTCATTCAAATAATCCCTCCAACTTCCTGAATTGGTTGGCGCTTCTTTTATATTTTGTTCACTTTTGACAGTTAGGTATATGGTATATAGGACTAACTTAAAAGATAAATTGATATTTTTGGTTCCCGAAAATGGCACATATTCGTATATTTTAGAGACTAAAAGTATAATTTTTTAAGTGAGTTTCCACTCAAATGATACATATCACATTTTTATGGGGCTAACAGTGTAATTTTTTAGGTGAATTTTCAAATTAATCACTGGCATCAACGGCATTTATTGGCCGAGTTAGATTATAAGATTAAATTGAAACACATTTTATATATTGAGACTAAAATGAAACAAAATTGATGCTTTGGGGATCGGTTATTATCTCTATAACGTACATTTTTTACTTTTGAATAATATTTGAAGTGAAAAAATAAGATAATAAATGAAATTATGTGTAAAATTTTATAAGAAAAAAAGAAATAAATGATGAGAACATACAAGTCCATAGCTCGATAGTAGTTGAGGCCACCAGTGAAACCTTTGTGGGTATATTTGGTGGCATAATAATTGACATCTTCCTCAGTCAACCAAGAGGGCAAAGTAGTGGGAGGCTCATAAAATGCCCCAAATCCAACCTCTTTTGGCACACAAAGTGGTCTCGGATCCCTACATGATAGAAACATTTTAAACACCTTGGCTGTATCAGTCCTCCCAAATTCATCTTCTGCCACCCCTGGTTCCTACAATCTCACAAATTGTTAGATATTAGGGCAAATTATATTGGTAATCTCTATATTTTGTTGTTTGTGTAATTTGGATCACTGTAATTTTAATTAGATTGATTTCAACTACGAATTTATGATTTTGTAGTGCTTTTGATTAAAAAAAAAATGCGCATGAAACGAAATGTATCATATTTTTAGGAATAAAATTGTAAATTTACTCAGTACGTTGATCTTGACCAAATGAACGATATCAATGTTATCAATTGAATCAAACTAATACAAAACTTTAACCAATGTTATTCAACCGGTGTAATTTTTCCAAGATATTAATTAATTCACGGTTTTGATAGTAAACATATATATTGATGGATAAATCCATATGGTAAAGCCAAAATTTGGATACGTATATTGGTTCAATAGTCTCCACCTTTTATAAATAGAAAAGATTTTACAAGATTATTTGTTAGGTTCACTTTTTAAAAATTCTATTAGTCTATTAATTTTGCCTGCCTAGTTTTATATTTGATTTTTGTGACCTATTTTGGCAAGTAGAAAAAAAAAAAAATCAGTTTATTGACTGATTTGAATCATATTACCTTTCTACTTTTTTATACGTTTATTCCAAAAATGTTAAAAAAAGTTTAAAAATTAGATTTTTCCTACTTCCAAAAATAGGCCTGTATTGCCACCTAGTTTGAGAAAAGATTATTTTGGCTAATTATTTGACTCTTTATAAAAAAATGTATAAAAAATAAAAAAAGATAATATAATGGAATATTTTGTGTTATTGGTTATTTTAATTTAGGGTGGACTATTTTAGTCCATCCAAACACCCCTTGCTGTGTTGTATCATAAATTCGAATAAGTATTCGAAAAGAGGCAAAAAGAAAAAAAGTGAGGGAAAATTGGTGTCCATTTTTCATTTTAAATTCAATCGTCTTTTCTGTTATTTTTAAACTAGCCTATCACCCGTGCTATTCACGGAATAATTATAAATGTTTATATTTGTTATTATTTTTTTTTAATATATAAATTATGTTTTTTAAGATTTTTTATAAAAATAATTTAACAATCTTATCACTAACCATAGTGTATATGAGAAATTAAAAATGCTACTGCAGTAACTATACACGGGTTGTATCTATAATTATTTGTATGATGGAATTTTAAATACTGATCAGGGATTTTGATCAAATCAATAAATACAGACATGTGGAAAGACATGTAGATTGAAAAAAGTTAATAAATGTTGATAAGGAAATTTTGACCAAATCAATAAATGTTGAGTTTTTTTTTTTTTTAAAAGGCTACTGCACGGGCTGTATCTATAATTATTTGTATAAGGGGATTTTAAATACTGATCAAGGATTTTGATCAAATCAATAAATGCAGGCATGTGGAAAGACATGTAGATTGAAAAAAGTTAATAAATGCTGATCATGAGATTTTAACAAAATTAATAAATGCTGAGTTTTTTTTTTAAATAAAAAATTTTAAAAATTAAGGTTGAGAGATTGGAGCTCCTATAAGGCTTGGGATTTAGAAACCCACTTTTTCTTAATATATACTAGTATATCACCCGTGCTATGTACGGATTGTGTTTACAATTATCTATATATGTGAATTGTGATTTTTTAACTTTTTTTTTAAATGTCTTCTTTTTTTCATTTTTTATATTATATTAAAGTTTAATATATTGATAATAATAATATGTGTTGGAATTTTCAAGGAATTAAATGCCTTTTTTTATTATATTATATTAAAGTTTAATATTTTGATAATAATCTATATATTGGACTTTTTAAGAAATTTTTTTTATACTTGTTCTTAATGCATTAAAGTGTTATTATGAGAGATAATAATCATATGTGTTGAAACTTTTCAAAGAATTCATATGTTTTGGATTTCAAAGAATTTTTTTTTTATACTTGTTCTTAATGCATTGAAGTGCTATTATAAGGGTAAGACTTGGGAGTTAGGAGAAGTTAATAAATGCTAAGATTATTATTTTTTTAAATCAAAAAACCAAGAAATTTAGATTAGGAGATTGGAGCTCCCACAAGGCTTGGGGTTAAAAATCTCCTTTTGCTTAATATATAGTATAGATAGATGTGTTGAACTTTTCAAAGAATTAAATATTTTTTTTATTATATTATATTAAAGTTTAATATTTTGATAATAATCATATATGTTGAACCTTTCAAAAAAAAATTTTTATACTTGTTCTTAATGCATTAAAGTGTTATTGTGAAGGATAATAATCATATGTGTTGGGACTTTTCAAGGAATACATATGTATTGGATTTCAATTATTTTTTTTTTATACTTGTTCTTAATGTATTAAAGTGTTATTATGAGGGTAAGACTTGGGAGTTGGGAAAAGTTAATAAATGATAAGATTTTTTTTAAAATCAAAAAATCAAGAAATTTGGATTGGGAGATTGGAGCTCCCACAAGGCTTGGGGATAAAAACCCCCTTTTGCTTAATATATAGTATAGATAGATGTGTTGAGACTTTTCAAGGAATTCATATGTGTTGGGTTTCAAAGCATTTTTTTTATACTTATTCTTAATGCATTAAAGTGTTATTAGGAGGGTAAAATTTGGGAGTTGAGAGAAGTTAAGAAGTACTAAAGTTTTTTTTTTTAAAATCAAAAAATTAGGAAATTTAGATTAGGAGATTGGAGCTCCCACAAGATTTGGGGTTAAAAATCTCCTTTTACTTAATATATAGTATAGATTTGATAATAATAATATGTGTTGGAATTTTCAAGGAATTATATGTTTTTTTTATATTATATTATATTAAAGTTTAATATTTTGAAAATAATCATATGTATTGGACTTTTTAAGAATTTTTTTTATAGTTGTTCTTAATGCATTAAAGTGTTATTATGAGAGATAATAATCATATGTGTTAGAACTTTTCAAGGAATTCATATGTGTTGGATTTTAAAGAATTTTTTTTTATGCTTGTTCTTAATGCATTAAAGTGTTATTATGAGGGTAAGACTTGGGAGTTGGGAGAAGTTAATAAATGCTAAGATTTTTTTTTTTAAATCAAAAAATCAGGAAATTTAGATTGGGAGATTAGAGTTCCCACAAGGCTTGAGGTTAAAAATCCCCTTTTGTTTAATATATAGTATAGATAGATGTGTTGAACTTTTCAAAGAATTAAATGTTTTTTTCTATTATATTATATTAAAGTTTAATATTTTGATAATAATCATATGTGTTGAACATTTCAAGAAATGTTTTTTATACTTGTTCTTAATGCATTAAAGTGTTATTATGAGAAATAATAATCATATGTGTTGAGATTTTTCAATGAATTCATATGTATTGGATTTCAAAATTTTCCTTTTTATACTTGTTCTTAGTGCATTAAAGTGTTATTATGAGCGTAAGACTTGGGAATTGGGAGAAGTTAATAAATGATAAGATTTTTTTTTTAAATCAAGAAATTTAGATTGGAAGATTGGAGCTCTCACAAGGCTTGGGGTTAAAAACCTCTTTTGCTTAATATATAGTATAGATAACTAGCCTATCACCCGTGCTATGCACGGGATAATTATAGATATTTATATTTTCTTTAATTTTTTTTAATATATAAATTATGTTTTTTAAGATTTTTTATAAAAAAAAATTTAACAATCTTATCATTAACCATAGTGTACATGAGAAATTAAAAAGGCTACTGCAGTAACTATGCACGGGCTGTATCTATAATTATTTGTATGAGGGGATTTTAAATGCTAATCAGAGATTTTGACCAAATCAATAAATGCAGGTATGTGGATTGAAAAAAGTTAATAAATGCTGATCAAATAATTTTGATTAAATTAATAAATGCTGAGATTTTTTTTTAAATAAAAAATTTAGAAAATTAAGATTGAAAGATTAGAGCTCCCACAAGGCTTGGGTTTAGAAATCTCATTTTTCTTAATATATTTACAATTATCTGTATATGTGAATTGCGATTTTTAAATTTCTTTTTTTTTAAATGTATTCTTTTTTTTTTCTTTTTTATATTATATTAAAGTTTAATATTTTGATAATAATCATATATGTTGGACTTTTCAAGAAATTAAATGTTTTCTTTTTTTTATTATATTATATTAAAGTTTAATATTTTAATAATAATCATATGTGTTGAACTTTTCAATAAATTTTTTTTTATGCTTGTTCTTAATGCATTAAAGTGTTATTATGAGGGATAATAATCATATGTGCTAGGACTTTTCAAGAAATTCATGTGTTGGATTTCAAAGATTTTTTTTTATGCTTGTTCTTAATGCATTAAAATGTTATTATGAGGGTAAGACTTGGGGGTTGGGATAAGTTAATAAATGCTAAGTTTTTTTTTTTTAATCAAAAAATCAAGAAATTTAGATTGAGAGATTAGAGCTCTCACAAGATTTGGAATTAAAAATCCCATTTTGCTTAATATATAGTATAGATATATAATATATAATATATATTTATATATATATATATATATTATAAGATGGGAGAAATAAAGTGCTATCTTAATATAATAGATAAGATCTTATAAAAAAAACGTGTATTATAAGATGGGAGAAATAAAGTGCTATCTTATTATAATAGAGGAGATCTTATAAAAAAAACGTGTAGACATGAATGTCCTTCTATTTTATTGTGTTTACAATTATTTATATATGTGAATTGTGATTTTTAAATGTTTTTTTTTAAATGTCTTATTTTTTTCCTTTTTTTATATTATATTAAAGTTTAATATTTTGATAATAATCATATGGGTTGGATTTTTTAAGAAATTTTTTTTATATTTGTTCTTAATGCATTAAAGTGTTATTATGAGGGATAATAATCATATGTGTTGGGACTTTTCAAGGAATTCATGTGTGTTGGATTTCAAAGAATTTTTTTTTATACTTGTTCTTAATGCATTAAAGTGTTGTTATGATGGTAAAACTTGGGAGTTGAGAGATCTTAATAAATGTTGGATTTTTTTTTTAAATCAAAAAATCAAAAAATTTAAATTGGGAGATTGGAGCTCCCACAAGGTTTGGAGTTAAAAACTCTATTTTGCTTAATATATAGTATAAATATAGATAGATGGGTTAAGCATCTCTCGGATTGAGATTTTAATATGAGAGAGAACTTGAGAGGCTTATAAAATTTATCATGAGTTTTGTTTTGATAATCTAAATCTTTTATTTTATAGGGCCGTCAACGAATATATTTATAAAAAAATTAATTCAATCTAATAATTATAAATTTTTTATTTTAACACATTTATTTCTGAAAAAATAAATTATATCATTTCTAAATCTATACCCAAATTTATGATCCAAAACAAAACACAATCTTATTGATTATAGGATTACCTGAAACCTGCACATATAATAGTCATCACCAAACAGAGCCCTCACACCCTGTGTGGGCTTTATGGAAGGATTTCTGGGATGAAACGCATCACTAAAATTGATAAGAGCCTTGATTCGGTCGGGCCTGAACAAGCAAAAGTTCCATGCTATGACAGCCCCCCAATCGTGGCCCACCAGGAAGACTTGGTCCAGGCCCAGCGAGTCCAACAGGCCCACCAAGTCGCCGACGATGTGGAGGGCGGTGTAGCTGGAAGAGGAAGGCGGCGCGTCGGAGTCGCCGAAGCCGCGGAGGTCAGGAGCGATGGCGCGGTAGCCGAGGGATGAGAGAGAGAGCATCTGGTGGCGCCAAGTATACCAGAGCTCAGGGAAGCCGTGAAGAAACAGAATTGCGGGTCCCACTCCTGTCTCTGCTACGTGCATGTTTATTCCATTCACGCTTACTGTTTTATGCTCTATATTCTCCATCTCTCTCTTCTTCTCTCTCTCTCTCTCTCTCTCTCTCTCCAGAACACCAAGTGCTTTGCCTGTTGTGTAGAGTGCAGAATGCAGTCAGTCTCCTGCTTTGCTTTTAACACACCTGGGGGTCCCCTTTTTTAGTCAAAATAAATAAATAAATAAAATTATTACTACAAAGTATCTTTAGGTAAAAAAATTAAAAAATTACTAAATAAAAATTAATTTCCAAACGATCATTTAGGAGTTGTTTGAGATGACTTAAATAAATGTATTTTTTATCTTTTTACGAAAAAATATACAAAAAAGTAGAGAGGTGATGTGATGAAAAAAAGATAAAAAGATAAAAAGTGCGTACTTATTTTGAGTAGCCAAACTTGGCCTTAGTCTGGAATGGAAAGTGATGTAAAACAAAAGATTTAAAGATTTAGGTAAAAAAATTAAAAAATTACTAAATAAAAATTAATTTCCAAACGCTCACTTAGGAGTTGTTTGGGATAACTTAAATAAGTGTATTTTTTATCTTTTTACGAAAAAATGTACAAAAAGTAGAGAGGTGATGTGATGGAAAAAAGATAAAAAGATAAAAAGTGCGTACTTATTTTGAGTAGCCAAACTTGGCCTTAGTCTGGAATGGAAAGTGATGTAAAACAAAAGATTTAAAGAGAATTCTTTCTTATTCGATGTATTATTAGTTATGTCATTTTTTTTAATTATAATTAATTTTTTTATTTAATTATAATATTATTTTAAGATTTTTTTATTATACTTCATGTAAGGTTTAGTTACGATTTTTTTTATTTATTTTAATTACGACTCATAAAATATGAAATTATATTATTTTTTTTATTTAGTTATAAGTGCATGTGGTGCACACATTTTGAGACAAAAAATGATAATTTATAAATGAGCATTATTATTTAAGACAAAAAATTAGACTCAATTTTCAAGTTCAGTGTGACAATCAATTATTAAGGATAATACACTTTCTTATATCTTCTCCAATCATTAATCAATTATATCACTTATATATCATTAGGTTTATAAAATAGGTCTAAAATGTAAATTTGTATATATATATATTGAATATAACATTGAATTGTTAAGTTCAAGAAAATTAATTTTACCTCATCTTGGGTGGTTTTGTGATCCGAATTATGCAATTTTTAGTGTATTCTGTGTAGATTATCTAAGCAAAAAATTAGACGGAGAAGGTATTAGTATGTAGTCACCTTTTTGAATGACATTTGCTTTTAAATAATGAATAATAAGTATAATTTCGAGAATATATCAATTTTTTAAAGACCAATTCATACTATAAGGTTATGTTTGTTTAGGTGGACATGAGCATGGGATTGGACTAATAATCAAATAAAATTATTAATCCGATGTTTGGTTAAACAATTGAAGTACAGATTAATTATTTTAAACTTGACTATTAGTTAAGATAGGATACATAATCCAACGGATACATAATCCTAGGACTATTAGTCATGGGAATACTAATCCAGTCCGCTCAAACAAACATGGCCTAAGGGTACTAAAAATAGGATTTGCCGTTGCCAAATTTCTTTAAATTTTTGTCTCAAACATTAGATCACGTATTAAGAATCATTTTAAAAATTATTATTGTTTATGATTAAATAGTTGTAAGCTAAGTAATTGAATCATGAGATTATCATACCTCCAAATTTTTAATAAAATAATAATTATGAATATTTTATTATACTTTTTTTGTCTCAAAATATTAGTCACTTATTTTATTTTTCATTATTCTAAAATATTAGTTTCTTTTTAAAAATTAAAGACTAAAGAACATGAATTTTCTATTTTGTCATTTTTTAAAATTTATTAGTAATATTTTTGAAATATAATAATTATATTACCAGAGGATAGTTTTAAAAAGTTAATATTTTTAAAGCGTAATAATTATATTATCCAAAAAAAAATTAAATTTCCAGAAGGAATTAATATTATACACCAGAAGGAGTAAAAAAAGAGTCAGACTTCTCTCCAGTCCAAAATCGAATTAAAGTGTGTTGTTGAACCTATGGAAGCTTATTACCAGTCTTGTTTCAATAATCTGAACCGTTAATGTGTAGAACTCGTCTAGCATATTATTCTTGTAAAAAATTTCTTTGATTGGATATTAATAACTATTTGATTATAGTATCATATTTCTGTCAATATTAAATATAATTTGTAAAATAAATTATTGACAAAAATTTAATTTGATCAAATAAATATCGATAACTAATTAATGTAATTTTTTATAAGAATAAAGTACTTAACAAATTTTACACATTAAACAATTTAAATTAATAAAATAAGATCTCCACACGTCTAACAATACTATCCAGTCACAAAGTGAACCGCAGGCTGGCCCTAAAAAAAGCATGGAAAATTTCAGTGCAAAAAAATCTTTGGCAGCTTTCTCAGTCTTATCTAGAAAAAATAGAATGAGTAGAAGCCATAAGAATTACTTTGAGCTTGTGGATTTTATGGGGGTCTTTTTGGTAAATTAAGCTCCGAATAGACATCGACCAACCAGCTTAGTTTGTCATCATCTGGGCGTAGATTTGGAGGACACGGTTGCGTTTTGCATTTGGTATTACGCTAAAGTCCCTCAATTTTGTTGTATTTTATTTTATATTTTTATTGAATCGTTACATACTATGCATGATTGAGGTCATGGACGCCAGCTATGGTGATTGAATCGAGGTAAATTACATCATTAATTTTTATAATTTAAGTATAAATACTATTTTAATTTTTATAATTTTAATTTAAATAATTTGATTTCAACATTTTTAATTTTTTACACTTATTGTTAGTATCTAGAATTGAAAAAGATCATGTGTAAAGTTAGAGAGATCAAAATAAAAATAAAAATAACTATTTACATCAGTGTTCCTATAGTTTATTTTAAATTTCATTTTGATCTCTTTGGTTTTGCACGCGATTTTTTTTTTTCTTTTAAAATGTTAATAATGTATGACGGAGAGGCCACATTGCACCAAAATTAAAAGTGTAAGGGCAAAATTATTCAAATTACAAGAACTAAAGTGAATTTTCACTCAAATTTTGAAGGACCAATTGTGCAATTTATCTATTAAAATATTCATTATATTTTTTTATTTTTATTTTTTTTTCATTTGGCCGAAGGATCTTATTACAAGATGGTATCTGAAAAGGAAAGGGAAACTTTTACGTTTAAATAATATTTATTTATTTATGTTTTAAAATTTTTTTTTCTTGTAATTAAAATAAGTTTTATTGTCTTTACTATTGGTGAGCTTATGAGAAATATATATTTTTTTGCTCAACATTGAGTTTTATTCAATTTTTATTATTAAGGGCCTATGGATAATTGGCAACCATAGTAGTAAAAATAGAGGGTTAGCCCAAAATTTTTATCAAGCAATATCCTTTTGATTTTTGCTATATCCTTTTGTTTTTTAAGTTTTCCATCAGATTTTTGTAAGATATTTTTAGAGATGGTTTAAAGTTTGTAAATTTTATTACGGATGTAATTTGTAAGGGTATTGTGAATAATTATTTTTGTAGAATTTATTTTATTGACTATACAAAAGCATGTATTTAATATTGAGCTTTTTAGAGGTGGACCTTTGGGTTAAGCCGGCCGTGTAACAAGGTCTCATTCGAAAAATGCCAATACAACATTCGTGGATACCAAGGTTCTGTTTTCATCGTTTGATGTTTAATTTTTGTAACTATGTTTTTTTTTCTAGTATGCATTTCATAAAATTAAACTTACCAATGTAGCAAAGAAAATTTAATCTCAAAACAATTTTAAATCAAGATATGACTTTCTTGTTGAATTCTTGTAACTATGCTTTTCTTGTATCATTGTTAATGGGGGAGCTGATAATACCAAAACCAGAATTGATGAGTTTCCAAGGTTCATTTTGGCTTTGACATTTGGATGGCTTGAGTTGGAATCTCATCCCATGCTTGTAAAAATAGCCACATTGATTACCGGTTAAGCGTATCTCACTAGCATTGGTGGCCATTCTTAATCCTCCTCTAACCAATCTCTTAACTCCAATAGTTCACAAAATGCTTAAATGTTCCATCTCCCAAAACAAAACAAAAAAAAAAAGAAGCAAAAGACAAAAAAAAAAAAAGACCAAATATATATAACTCTCCATCCTATCCAACCTAAAGTTTTCATTGAAAAGTACGAAAAATAATGAGTTCCATGTCAATTTTCATTTTTCTCTTGCCTCTCACCCTTTGCCTCAGTCTCCGGCTACACCTAGTTGCCGCGGACATCTCTATCATTAACAATGTCAACAATCTAATTGAAAAGGCATGCAGTAACTCCGCACATAAGGATTTTTGCCTCTCTGTTCTCAACTTCAACAATGAGACCCAAAATGCGGACCTAAAAGGCCTCGCATTCATTGCACTCAAGGCTGCTGAGAAAAATGCCACAGACACATCGGTGCGCATTAAGTTGTGGCTTGGTGACGAAAATGTACAACCTGCTGTGAGTGATGGCCTCAGTGATTGTGATAAAGAATACCTCGATGCAATTGATCAGATCGAGGATTCTATAAATGCTTTGGTTTCAAATGCCTTGGATGACGTTAAGAGTTGGGTAGAAGACGCCCTTGCTGATATTGATACGTGCGAGAAGAGTATCCAAGGACAACCAGGATATTCATTGGAGTTGGCTCGAGAGAATCAAGTTCTTCGCAAGTTATGCTATACTGCTTTGGACATTGTCCAAGTTTTGGCTACCAATTGATCTTTGATGACAACATCATTGTATTGATCTCAAACGTTATTTCATTTTCACAGCATGTATTTAGAAAAGTGTTCAGAATTTTAAATCTGTACTACACATTTAAATTTATTTATTTCTTTATTGTACTTCTGTTCGTTTTTAACATCAAATGGTTACCCCATGCCAGACCTTATTTGGCTTGTGACAAGACTCTATTTTCATAGCCAAGTCATTTGATTAGGGGGTTTTGTTCTCATTTCATTCTGGTCATTTTGTGTGCAATATGGGTTCTTCCAATTACATCTAACAAACAATTCATCATACCTATAACTGTGAGAGCTCAATTCTCGACGAGCAAAACTTTACGAGAGAGGTGAGTGTGATGAGATGGTTTTTGAGTGTATTTAGAAGCACCGGTTCAATACAATACCGATCATATGCTCCCCGACATATGAAAAATGCCTTTTTTTTTTGGACATTTTTTTTTGTACTTATGCTAATCATGTAGGAACAATCTTATTGACATTTTAAATTTTTGGTTTTACTCCCACTTGAAATTTTTTACCTTAATTTGTTTGAATTAATAGAACAGTTAAATTCACGAATCACAATTAATCACCAAGCAGCCCATTTGTACAAGCTTTGGTGTAAAAAATTTAGCATTTTTGTAGCATAGTCAAAATTTAGCAATGACATGTCAAATTTGACATTTAGCATTGAAGATACTCTAACATCTGCATAACATTGCTAAAATATAGCATTCTAAGATTTTTAATTACTATTTAACAAAAACTAACTATTTAACTATTATTTAATGACAATCTAAATTTTTGCTATTAATATAATACTATAGCAGTTAGAATTCACAAACTAATAACCAAGCAGCACATTTGTGCAAGCCTGGCTGTTACATGCATGCTTATTGCTACAACAAAAAAGAATCACAACAATACCAGAACAGACAGACCCCAGAGGACAATATGTTTTACTAAATTGCAATAACAATTTTTGTTTTCAATTTGCACAGAAATTAATCACAGAATCTGAAAGATGGAACCCATTTCATGTAAGTGAATTGTGTCCGATTCTGTAATCAATTTCAGTGTTCCTAATACTAAAGAAATCATAAGCCGCCACTGTATGGAACTCCGGTCTGAGGTAACCAATCATCCGCCAACAAGAAAACTGATCCTGTAAAATTAGCAGCACCAGTAGCATTAAGAATGTGATAACCAGGCCACGTCACCCTCTCAGAAGTGTTCCAACCAGGCCCTGTATTATTAAACTCGGCATAATACGAAGTATTTAGAGCAAAATCACCGATCCATTCGTGCCAACCCAAGGGATTAATCAAATCATCCAAAAAAGACTGCATATAAACAGTCCTCGAGTACTGCTTCCAAGGTCTCCCCAAAAACGTGTCGAAAGTAGTATTACTGGAAGCCAATTCATCGGAGGCTTTTATAGTACAATTCTGGATTGAAGTGCCAGTGTTTTGGTTCGGGTCGGTTCGGCCTTGGGCAGTGATGACATTGAACTGTCCAATGAGGGGTAACCTGGGATACATGTTGCAGTTTTGGAAGACGGCGGCGGCGTTGCCGAAGATGAAATCGATGGTGCCGTAGATGTCGCATTCGCGGTAGAATTGGCGGAGAGAGTGAGCGTAGAGTGTGTCTTGGTAGGCTTCGAAGCTGCATTGGTAGAATGTGGATAAATCGGCGCCGTTTCGAACTGCCACGGCTTGGTGCTTGATTGCTCCGGCTGTGTTTCGGAATGTTATTCCAGCCGCTACAAATCCTTTTCCCACCACAGCTGAAACAATGATACCAAAATTTATCAGATTATACTTAAACATATGCTATATATCATTTTCCATTATTTACATATGCCAAAAGTTAGGAATGCAGAGTCTATGAGTAAAATTATTTATGGATAAATTTAAGTAAATTTTTTTGGAATTTGTGTAGTCTCTCTGTTTGAATATTTTAAATCAACTCTTTTTACCTGTTACTTTTTCCTGGGTGTTTTGAAAACTTCCTTAAAAAAAAAAAAAAAAAAAAAAAAAAAAAGAAAAGCTAGCATTTTGTTTTTTATACAAAAAAAAAATCAACTTTTTAAACATAAAAAAGCCAAAAAATGCAAAAAAAAAAAAAAAAAAAAAAAATCAACTTTTTACCAACTTCTCAAAAACACACTCCATATAGCCTCCGTTGGGAAGTGGGTGGCTTTTTGCTTTTTTGGGCTTTTTGGCTTTTTTGGCATTTAGCCTGGCTTAAAAACTTGGTTTGGGAATGGCTTTTTGGCTTTTTGACTTTTTTGAGTTTTTTTTGTGAGAGAATAATGTAATGATTATGGGTTGGATGTGATGTTTTGTTTGTTATGGCTAAAATAGCCTATTTTGTTTTTTGTGGCTAAAATAGCCAAAAAAACCTGCAAACTTACTTGCCAAACACAGGCATAATATGGTAATTCGTTATTTTTAAGCATGTCGTATCTTATAAGTTATATATACCTATAATATTTATTTCGTGAACATAACAATGAGTGAATAAAATATTGAAATGTATCTATTGATATATTAGGTACAATTGCAATGAATAAGAGAAAGGAAAATGAAATATAATTTTATTTTCTAAAAATAATATTTTTTAAATTTTATATACAAAATATTTTTTATTTTATTTTATTTTCTTTTTTAATTTTAAAAAAATTACATTCCACATCATTTAGGATGAGCCTATTGTGGAAGTTTTAAGGAGAGGATTCACTTTGTTTGGTTTGAGTTTTCTAAAAATACTTTTCAAAAAATTTTACTTTTTTGTTTTTGTTTTTACTGAATTTTTTTTTAATATTTTAAGTAATTTTTTTAATTTCTACATACACCTAACATAAATACATTTAAAAAGTATAATTTTTGTGAATTTTTTTTTAAAAAAATTACTAAATACCAAAAATATAAAAAAAAATTGAAAACTCAATATATTTTTCGTATTTTTATATATTTATTAATATTTTAAAATATTTTTTCATAAATATTTTACTTTTTAGATATATCTAAGTAAGGTGCATCTTAAAAACTAAAAAAAAAATGTTTAAAATTTTAAAAATATTTATTAAAAATAAAAAAATAAAAAACTCAATTTTTAAAAAATTAAATTTAAAAAATTAAATCTAAACACACTGATTGATTTTCTCAAACACGAGAGGTGCCGTCAGGCTTTGTTGGAGCCTCCACCTCAACTATCTAAATAGTCCATTTTGTTCAAATTGGGCTTTGTGAGACCTATTATAGGTCCACTCCAACTATCTAAATAATTCGTTTTGTTTAATTATATATATAGATTATTCATTAAAATAAAAATTAAATTGATCCATAATTATAGCATGTGCTTTTATAACAATTGTCTAAAAAAATGGACAATTTATTTTAAAAATTATTTTTATCATCTATTTTTAGAAATAAATATTATCAAAGTATATGACTATATGTATATTAAAACAAAATGAATGATATAAATATTCAAAATATGGCCCAACAGCACCGAAGAGATAGTTTATAAATTATATTTATAATTTTATAATTTGTATAAAGATTGGGATTCCTTTTCCCCCACCCCCTTTTGACCCCCTTTCTTTTTTGATAGGTCACTTTTTCTTTTTGTTTTCCTTTTTTTTTCTCCTCCTCCAATCACCACCCGCCACGTGTGTGTGGGGTGGTGGGGGTTGAAGTTTGAGGGGGTCTGAATCACTGCTGTTATAATTTAGAGTAAGTGTTACTTAAGTCTAAAAATTAGATTTATTTTTCAAATTTAATGATAGAATAATGTCTTAAAATATCTAAAATGAATTTTTTTTCTCATATTTTCTCTAATCATTCACCAATCATCTTATTTATATATAAATGAGTCTATAAAATGGATTTGTATATCATTTTCTTATAAGTTATCTAGAAAAATGAAATAAATGATTCAGATTTGAAGTTAATTGAATGTGGATTGGATCTAAAATAATTTTGATCCATAAATATATTATTCCGAGTAATTTTCCTGATATGTGACATTGTTGTTTTTTAAAAGGTAAATTATGTAAATGGTCCCTGTAATTTATATGATGTGTCAATTTAGTCACTATTGTTTCAATTTGCTCGATTTTGCCTTTTAATTTAACAAATTGTGTCACTGTAGTCTAATAAATAACGGCTATTAAGTTTGGTGGGTGGAAAGTCTACATAATGTGTCAATTTGGTTTCTGTAGTTTACATAATGTGTCAAATTGGTCCCTATTATTTTAATTTGCTTGATTTTGACAGGAAGCAAATTGACATATTGTGTAAACTATAGGGACCAAATTGACACATAGTTTGACTTTTCGTTCACCAAATTTAACAATCGTTATTTATTTGATTAAAATGACATAATATATTAAATTAAAAGGTAAAATTGAACAAATTAAAATAACGAAGACTAAATTAATACATGATGTAAACTATATAGACCGTATATAATTCACCCTTTCTTAAATGATGAGGGAAGTATTTTGTACTCACAAAAGGTAGAAGAATTGAAGGTGGTCCACCCATCATCAAAGCTATGATTCCCAGTGATCACAGTCTGATTAATACCATCGCCGATCATCATCAAATAAGTCTGGTTCTTCCCAATGGACACATACTCTTGATACACACCAGCGGTGACATATATGAGAAAGTAGCCATTGCTGCCATTGGAGCTTCTGGGAGCTGCATTGACTGCATCAGTAATGGTTGTGAAATTAAAACTCCCATCCTGGCTCACCACCACAATATCGCTCACCGGAACCACGCCGTCGTTACTCGTCTGAAGAACTTTTCTCCTACTTACTGACTCGTAAATCGCTTGGTGTTGGCGCGACATTTTTAACGGTAACCGGCCGTTTCTGAAGCCTATCGGCGTTTTTCCAGGCGGCTTCGATGTCTTCAAATTCAAAATATTATAATAAAATGATTAAAAGATATACAACATGTACAATAATAAAACAATTAATTTAAGAAAGAATTGACATCTTAGATTTGATAATATATATTTTTTTTTGAGATCCGATTCCATTGACAATTTATTTGGAATTGATTTTTTTAATAATTTATTATTGTTGATTTATTTTTTTTATTTTAAAAATATATATTTATAGGTTCAATTTGACTACATTGGAAGAAGAAAAATTTTAACATAAATTTGAAAAAGAAATCATGAAGGTCAAAAAAGTTTTGAAAATAATGTGACATTTTAGGTTGATCCCAAAATGATCTTGGAGACATTTAGTTAGTGTCTTGAAACCGTTGTTTCTTATCGCATTAAGCTTCAAACGAAATCAGAAAATATTATGCAACTACAGGATTTAAGTTAACAAAAATATTAAGACATATGCAACATACAAAATAAAAAACAACTAAATCAATAAAAATTTAAAAGGAGTTGGTTTAAGAAATTGAGTGGCACGTTGTTACTCTTCACGTGAAGGTTTGAATGGAGTGCAGTGACTCCAAAATAAACAAAAGAGTAATGATACAAAATGTACCAAAAATATAACATGGATACTTAAATTAAGGGTTGTTTGAGATAATCTCAATAAGTGTACTTTTGAATTTTTATGAAATGTAAGTTGGGTTTGGGTTGGGTTTGAAGTGATGTGTTAGAGAGGTGACGTGACTTAAATAAGATGATATGATTTAAATAGGATAATAACTTTTTGATTTTTTTACTTTTTTTAAACATACCAAACCAACTCTAAATTTAAACCGCACAATACATTTCCTGTGTAATTTTTTTGTGTCTTAACTTTGTATCAACAAATTCAGCAGTAAAAATATAAGAGAATATGATGAATGGCTCTGCACTCTTTGGAATCTCAATGTAATCACATGTTTTTGTGTTGAAGAATGCATATTTAAAAAAAAAATGTTTTTTTTTGTTTTTTTGTTTTTTAAATTTTATTGATTCTGTAACGGCTAGATAAATAAAAACAATATTTGATTTTTATTATTACCCACCTTATTCTTCTTGGGAACCCAGCCTTTGGTGAAGAGAGCTAAAGAAACACTGTAAAGCTTTGTATCATTAGCTAAAGGCATTGAGAGCCCATTCTTCACACTCCAAGCTGAAGCAGTGTCTCTCAGACCATCCAAACAAGTCTGCACATTAGTTAAAATGGCACTGAGCATTGTCTGCACGTCATCAGCTTCAATACTAGGAAGGACTGAGGAATTAGTGTTGACAGTTTGGAAAGAACTTAGGAGAAAATCTAAGTTGAGAGAGGCTAGGAATCGGCAATCTTGGAGAGCTGCAATGGCAGAAGGTGTCAAGAAGGAGGAATGATGGAGATAGTTATCGATGAGAGAGATGAATTTGTGAGCAGAAGATAATGATTTGTGGACTGATATTCGACCGTAGTCGTAGACATTGGCAGAGTTGTTGTTGGTGGGAAGGACTGATCTGCAGAAGGCAGGGTATAGAGTGTCCTTGCAAGCAGTTCCGGTTGAGATTGGATTTGCAGGAGGGACATCGGCCGAAGATGGAGAGGGAATGGAAGAAGCTAGAATGAAAAATATTGTGAGAGAAGAGAAGAAGAGGTTGAAAGCCATTGTTTTGAGAATGAGAGGGTGAATAAGAAGAATGTAGACTCATGGGGAGATGGCTTCATTTATATATATATTAGTAGTACGTGAATAAGATAGATGGATGAATTTGAAAATTGTTTTTGGAACAGTTAACAATATGAATATTCATGGGGGGAAAAAATGGACAAAGCTTTAAAACTGTCATGAATTGTATTTAATATAATATAATACTATCGGCGAGTGCATAATGTATTTACAATTTTACATTTAATTTTTTTGAGAAGAATGATTTATTCTTTTAATTTTGTTCGTTCGATTTAATTTCAATGATGTGGCACTAGAAGGGGTTAAAGACGAAAGGTGTGTAATGTAAGATCGCGTTACATTAGTCTTAGCTACGTTATTAGAAGTGGGGTACTGGGTAAACAAAATTACGGAACATAGAAGGACTGTTTTTTTTGATAATTTGACAAATAAAGAAGATGGGTTGAATGTGATAGTTGATAATAGTTACTTTTTAAAGCAATTAACAAGAAAACAAAAAATTACAAAAGTTTTAATACCTTTTGAATTGTGAGCTTTATATATAAGTATATATAATGAATAATATTATATGTATCAATTAATATATTAACAGATGATGCGGTATAATTTTAAGAATTTTAAATATTTGTAATTTATATAATAGGTTATGAGGTTATAATTTTCAACTAATAATATCATAACATATATTAATATACTAATTAGTGCGTGTAGCACTACCAATATATAATAGATATACATAAAATAGAGATAGAATATTTTGATTATTGCTTGAGTAATGCTACCCAAATTGAAAAATTGTAAATAAAATTAATACATATGACGCGTATATTTAAAGTGAGACCAAGTATTGATTTTTTATCATTTTAATATATATATATATATATTTTATTAATCGATAGGAGAATAATTACAAATATGATAAATAAATACAATCACAACACATTATAAATTTTTCTTTATAGGAGTTGAACTCAATAACTCATACAAAGTGTTACACAATTATTAAACCAAATGTATAATAGAGTATTTCTATTACATGATTTCAATTAATGACTCTAATAGCCAAGAACATATGATTACTTCGGTCTTTAGAGATAATTTTTCACAATTGAACACTCTTTAAAGCAGAAGAAGTTAATTTTTAAACATATTTTATTACATCATTTTGATCATAAAAATTATGTGAGAATAAAAGTTCATTTATTTTTAAAAATTATTAAATGGAATTGAGAATTTTGAAGGATTTGGGAACGAGTAAAGTCAACTTGCACGGCAATCTCAAAAGCGCGTGCATATTTAACTTCGTTTTTTAATAAATTTCATAGCCGTAAAGCAAGGGCCAAGTTGTCTTGTCCTTAATGTGTTGTTTTATGAAACATAATCTACTTCAACTTACTCTACAGGCTACAGCTTGTCTGCAGTTGGAGTTTTAGGTCTCAAAATGGGTTTTCTTTTCCAACTGTTTATTTTATGATGGGTAGATTATTAAAGAAAATAGAGTCGAATTTGTTTGTTCATAATCTAAATCGGAGGATATTGTTCAGGTTTATAGGGCTCATTATAAATTATATTTTAATAATTTAAATTATTCATTTTATAAAGTTATTCATGTATATTATTTATACATAAAATTAGATTAATCTAATAATTGTAATATATTCAATTTATCTCGTTTATGTCTAAAAAATTAAACTACATTTTTAAAAATAGATCATTCATTTTTTTTTAAATACAATAAATTAAATAGGCTATAATAATCAGATTGACTTAATCTTTTTTGTGCAGATGATATAGATGAAAAATTTTACAAGATAAACAGTTTTGATCATTGAAATAAGACCCGTGCTAACCAAGGGGCTCTAGCCTAGTTAGTTAGCTCTTTGGCCACCAAGTAATCTCTTAACGTTGTATTTGGTTGGAGAATTTAACACTACAACAAAAAGCAGATTTCGCAACTAAAACTGTATTTTTCGTCGCTGAAAGTAGTAGAATTGGTGACTAAAATGGAATTAGTCACCAAAATTGATCACTCTTGCCGACTAAAAGAGTTTAGTCACCAAATATAAGGGTTTTAGCGACTAAAAGGCAGTTTAGTCGCCGAATATAGGGGTTTTAGCGACTAAAAGGCAGTTTAGTCGCCGAATATAGGGGTTTTAGCGACTAAAGGTTGTTTAGTAGCCAAAAGTCACGGTTTTTTGAGACTAAAATAATTTAGTAGCCAAAAGTGATCGTTTTGGCGACTAAAAAACAGTTTGGTCGCCGATTATAGGTGTTTTGCCGACTAAAAACAGTTTGGTCGCTGAAAGTTTTATTTTTAGGCGGAACTTAATTTTTTAGCGACTAAAAACTAACTAGTAGCCGAAAATTATAGAATTGGCGACTAAAAATTTAATTTAATCGCCAAAAGTGGCCTAAATTTTTTTTTAGTAAATAATTTATTTTTTACATAAATTATATTGAATAAAAAAAATTATATTTATATATATTGTTTTGTATTAATACCGGTCAATATACTATATAAATAATATATATTGCATATATATTCATGTGATGTTGTAGTAGCATAGTGGAGGGAGTGTGTTGCTAAAGCTTTGGAATGTGGGACGGTTGGCGGTTCGAATCTCAGAAAAAGTAAAAAAGTAGGTTTTTTTTTTTTTTCGACGGAAACACCTTTGGCGACTCAAATTATTAGTCGCCAAAAGTCTTTATTTTGGCGACTAAACGGTTTAGTCGGTGATTCAGTGAGTTTTGACGACTAAATTATTAGTCGGTAAATGTATGATTTTCAAAAGTGTAAAATACTGTTGGCGACTAAAACTTTGGTCACTAAAGACCTGTGGCGATTAAAAAATTTTGTCGGGGAAAGTAAAATTTCGACTTTCGGCAAAAGTGCTTTTTTTTGTAGTGTAAGAAGAGATTTGGCAAGAAAAAAGAAAAAATTAGGTGAAATATCAATAAAATATACTTACATTTCACTTAGTTTTACACCAATTTTCCCTTTTTCTTTCTAAATTCCTTTCCGAATCTCTCAACTAAATATAGCGTAAGGGGGAGGTCTTGGATTCCACACTTAGGAGTGAGCTGGAGGGCAAAATTTTCTTGCAAGGTGGTGAAGTAGTTTTTTTAATTAATTTTTATTTTTTGTTATTCATTACTTGTCTACATTATTCCTAAAATATATATATATATATATATTACTTTGATAATTATAATTACATAATTTTATAATATATATATTTTTAAATAAATTAATAATTAATTTTTAAAATTGTATTTATGATTTAGATTCAAACTAAACTGACGGAGTGCAATGACGACAAACAAGTCTTCGTCTTATGCAGTCGGTGATTGCGTTCCGACCGTGATTGGTAGGAATGTGAGACGGAATTCGGATCTTCGGTCGCACTCCCCTGTCGCACTCTCCTATCGCCCTCCAAAACGACGTCGTTTTGGAGGGGTTTTTTTTTTCTTTTTCTTCTTTCTCTTCGGTCTGGGTTTGTTGATTGAAGAAAACCAGAGGGGAGGGGAGGGGAAGAAGAGGGGAGAAGAAGGAAGAGGAACCCACCACCATCACCACCGCAGAGGACGGAACCCACCTCTCTCTCATCTTCTCTCTCTCCTCTCTGATCTTCCTCCTTTTTTTTTTTACACAGCTTGGATTTTGGGTTTGAAATTTGTTCTTGGGTTTGAAATTTTGGGAAGCTCCTCTCTAATCTTCCCCCTTTTTTGTTGAAATCAGATTTTTGTTGAAATTTGAAATTTGGATTTGAAATTTTTTTTACCAATTTCAAATCAGATTTTTTTTTTCTGGGTTTGTTGATGATGATGCTTGGTGGTTTGCTTTAACTCTTCTTCTCCCTTCCTCTCTCTCTTCTTCCCCTCCCCTCCCCTCCCCTCTCCTCTCTGGTTTTCTTCAAAACCAAACACAGATCGAAGAGAAAGAATAAAAAGAAAAGAAGAAGGAAAAAAAAAAAAAAACCCTCCAAAAGAAGATCCATTTGAAAAATAAATTTTGAAACTACTTGAATTTTGAGTGCGACCGAAGATCCGGATTCATGTGAGACGTGCCAACTGGCATGTGCAAAACCGTAAAACCCTATAATATTACACCTTTGTTGCCTTTCTAAGCATTACTCTTAATATTTTTTATTATTTTGTTGAACAGAAAAACAAAGTAAAATATTTAATATATATATTTCATCATAGTCCCAAAATAATTTGGCAATGAAAATCCCATAAGCTAATTTTGACGAAGTTCATATTCAGCACGCAAGAATCTTTTAGCACATTAGATTTTTTCATATACATTATACATATATCCTCAAGTTCATTAGTGTTGTATTTGGTTGGACGATTTAAGAAGGAATTTGAAAGAAAAAAAAAATGTGTGTGAAATTAAGGAAAATGTAAATATATTTTATTTACATTTCATATACATTTTCTCTTTTTCTTTTCAAATCTCTTCTCAAATCTCCTAATCAAATACAACGTAAGTGTATGATAGAATGCCATAATGGAGACTTAATTAGGATTTTGCTTAAAAAAATTTTGTTTCAAATGTCAATTAAATATTGAAAAATAAAAAAATTAATTTGAATGTAAAATTAGTTTTACATGAAAACTATTTTATATATTTTTTTTATAAAATATTTTATTTCGAAACAAACAGATTTATATTGACATTTAAGAGAGAACACGAGAGTCCAACTATTTGTGATTGAGGAATGATACACTTGACAAATATTATGCAGGACGCCTTTCAATATGCAATAGATATATAAATATGGAAAAAGCATCTCGGCATACTGAATCTCTTTGGCGCCTCAAACCTGTCCAACTCCACCGGGAGTGGTGTCCTCGGCTTATCTGGGGAGTTTACCTCAGTGTCAGCATTCTGTTGCTTCCTCTTGAGGTAATCTCTTAAGTCCTCCTTTGTCCGCCCAAGAGCTCGACTATCTCTTGCTTTCAGCCTTTTTGGTGCACTACTTTCAGCTTCGTGGTG